GGTAAGCAATTGGTAGTGTTCCGAAATTCAACCATACCCAGTCTGGGGTGTAAAACCAGGCTTCGAGGTTTGGGGGTTTCAGGGGCTTAGGGCTTTTTATGCAGGGGCTCTAAGGTTCGGTGCCTTGAGAGCTTCAGGCCTTCCGACAGTTAAGTGCTTGATGATACGGGGGGGAGGGGGGGGAGGGGGGAAGGAGGGCCCCCTATTCATCAGGGCCTACAAACCAAACCCCCCTCAAACCCTCAGAAGCCCTCAGATCAACCTGCAAACCCCACCGAAAAACTCTGGGAAACCCAAATCCTAAACCCTGAACAGCCCTTCAACATCAGCAAACCTCGAAGGCAATGGGGATGTAGCAGCTCCCCAGCCTCAAATTACGGAGTTTTGGGCGTGCACGGTCGAAGGCTTCAGGGTTCACCCCGAAAACCCGAAAACCCGAAAACCCAAACCCCAAAGCCCAACCCCTCCGAACTGAACCACCAAGTACACAACACCAAAGCATCCTGAACCCCTAGGCCCCACAGCCCGAAAGCCTGGCTAAACTCCCCAAATCCCCCAAAAAGCCCCAGAACTTCGGAACTGCACTCCGAGCGCAAAAAGCCTAAAACCCCGAACCCCAATACCCAAGAAGCCCCCCAAACAAACACTCAGAAGCTTGGGGGCTTAGGGGCAATTTTGGTTTAAGTAGGATTTAGGGTTTAGGAGATTAAGGGCGCTGCAGGGTCTTGGACAGGATTTTGCCTCAGATCTTGTTTTCCCGAAGCATGGCGGAGGGTTTTTCAGCGGAGGTGGTGGTCTTTAAGGAGTGTCGTTTGATGGATGACGTGATGGATTTGATGGATTTCGTTGCGTGATGGATTTGGTGGGTTTTCCTCTTAGAATTAATATGCTTTAAAGCAGGGGGTAGGGGTGGCAGGAGCCTCTGCGTGGTTTGGCGTTGTCGAAACGCAAAAGCGATGACCCTCTGCGTGTGCGCGGCGGGTCGTGATCGCACGAACGACAACCCTCTGCGTGCTTTGGCGTAGTCGAAACGTAGTCGAAATGCAAAAACGATCGCGCGGTGTCGTGATCGCACGAACGACAACCTCTGCGTGTTTTGGCGTTGTCGAAACGCAAAAGCGATGACCCTCTGCGTGGGTGCGGGGTGTCCTGATCGCTCGAACGACAAGCCTCTGCTTTTTTTGGCGTTGGCCCGTGTGTGGTTAAGGATCTAGGATCCAGGCTTCCCTAAGGGTCCATGTACTAAATAGGGAGTATTTGGGCCGTAAAGTACCTCCTATACAGAGACTTTGGGGCCCAAGTATTCCCCATTTAGGTACATGGACCCTTAGGGCTTTAGGGTTTGGGGGGTCATTGTAGCACGCCTGACAGTAGCTACAGCTACATGGGTTCCTCTTTCGAACCTTGGCAGCTTCTGCGGCCTACCAGGCTCCACCCGGTTTATGCTGCTGGCACTTTCCTATACCTTCATATAGCCCCGAGATACCCTAATAAGAACCCCTCCCACAAAACAGAAGCCCTACTTAAAGAGACCACCAGCCAATATGACTACTGTTACCTTCTTTCGGGCTTCTGGCTTCTGTTTCACATGCGTTGAGACAAGAAACCTTTATGAAACAACCCTAAACCGTAATCCCTCAACCCAAACCCTCAACCCCAAGCCCAAAACCCCAACGCTTCCGTTCCGCGTGTTTGGCTCCCTGAATTGTGCCGAGGTGCACGGAAGTCACAAGGTCGTCGCTGCTGCTGAAGCTGTCCTCAGCCAAGGGCTCTAGGGTAACCTATCAGCTTTCACCCTAAACCCTAAACCCTAAACACCAAACCCTAAACCCTAAACCCTAAACCCTAAACCCTAAACCCTAAACCCTAAACCCTAAACCCTAAACCCTAAACCCTAAACCCTAAACCCTAAACCCTAAACCCTAAACCCTAAACCCCCCAGAGAAGGGTTCTTAAGGCAGCCAAAGGGGCCAGGAGTCGACCGCCAGGTAGCGGGGAAAACGAGGTAACACCAATGGTGAGACGCTGGCTGGCCTGGAGCTTAGGAGGTTTTTGGGGTTTAGGGTTTAGGGTTTAAGGTTTAGGGTTTAGGGTTTGGGGTTTGGGGTTTGGGGTTTGGGGTTTAGGGTTTAGGGTTTGGGGTTTGGGGTTTGGGGTTTGGGGTTTGGGGTTTAGGGTTTGGGGTTTAGGGTTTGGGGTTTGGGGTTTAGGGTTTGGGGTTCAGGGTGTGGGGTTTTGGGTTTAGGGTTTGGGGTGTGGGGTTTAGGGTTTGGGGTTTAGGGTTTGAGGTGTGTTACGTTCTGGGTTGCTCGCTAGGCTCCGGGGCCTCACCTTTTTTTTTTTATAACCGGCCCCTCTGCCCGGGTCGCTCGCAACATCGCGTGGCGGTAAGCCCACCCCAAGCCACCCGGCATATCTATTTTAGGGTTTAGTTCCTAAAGCCTTGTTTTTGCTTTTTCCAGCGGGGGCATGCTGTGTCCCTGCGCACGCTGTTTCTGCACCGTCCCGATCTGAGCCTCGCGGGGGCAAGGCTGCAAAGAGGTGAAGTTGTGGAAAACGCTGCCCCTAGGCTGTGAAAGGTCGGGGGGATAGCCCTTCATCATCAAAGTCGGGACGGGCTTGTTTGAAGGCGTTTGGCATCCCGCATCTGCCGTCACGGAAGGCGTCTGGCGTGTGTCTCACAGATTGGTTTGGGTTGCCGTAGGGGTACCGTTGCCCCGGGCCAGCGTCCCGACGTGCTTCTTTGAGGGCGTTTGGCATCCCTTGCCTGCGACCCTCGTTAGCCAGCACGGAAACCATCGACACAAAGCAATTTGGGTTACCGAAGGGGTAGCGCTGCCCCTCGACCGGGCCAGCGTCCCGATACGACTCTCCCTGGACCAAGACTAGGCTGTGAGAAGGTCGTGGGGGTGGCCCATTATTGGTTTGGGTTGCCGTAGGGGTACCGTTGCCCTTCGACTTCTTTGAAGGCGTTTGGCATCCCTTGCCAGCACGGAAACCATCGACGCAAAGCAGTTGGGGTTAGCGCAGCCCCTCGATCGGGCCAGCGTCCCGATACGACTCTCCCGTGACCAAGACTAGGCTGTGAAAAGGTCGTGGGGGTGGCTGATTGGTTTGGGTTACCGAAGGGGTAGCGCCGCCCCTCGATCGGGCCAGCGTCCCGACACGACTCTCCCTTGACCAAGACTCGGCTGTGAAAAGGTCGTGGGGGTGGCTGATTGGTTTGGGTTTCCGAAGGGGTAGCGCTGCCCCTGGACCGGGCCAGCGTCCCGATACGACTCTCGCCTCCCATGCCTCTGGAGGTTATCGCAAGCCTTCACAAAGGCTTCCGGGAACCTCCCAGAACCAGCGATTTCAGTACTAAAGATTCGCATTTTCATTGTGGGTCCAGGCCAATCCTGGGGTCCCCCTCATTGGGGGGCTTGGAGAAGCTTTGTTGTGAACACAAAAGAAATGGAGAGCCCAAAAAGTTCAAAAATCTGGCCTGGGAGAAGCATAGAAAGGCTCAGAAAATAGCCTGGGAGAAGCTCAAAGAAAAAACTAAACCCAGACATGGTTCGGAAGGAGCCCAGAAAAGGCTCAGGAATGGTCTCAGGAGGAGCCCAAAATGGCTCAAAAATGGTCTGGGGAGCCTAAAAGGCTCGAAACGGTCGGGGAGAAGCAAGCCAAGAAATGGTTTGAAAAAGGCTCAGACGGCGATCTGAGCCCGGCAACGGTCCTTGAGGGGGGCCCGGGTTGCACCAGCAAGTCCTTGGTGGGGGCCCAGGTTGCACGAGCAACGGTCCTTGGGGGGGGGCAGGTTGCACCAGCAACGGTCCTTGGGGGGGGGCCAGGTTGCACCAGCAAAAAGTCTTGGGTTTAGGGTCTTTACCTTTGACACTCAAAGGCTCGACCGCCTTGACGGCCAGTGTGGGCCTTACCTTGCCTTGGAGCGTCCAGCAGCCCCAGCTTTACCTGGGCTGCACGTTCAGTGCTCTCAGGTCGCTCGCGAAGCTCGGACGGCTTCGGGCTCTCAAGTGTTGGTAGCGAGCCCTCAGCAAAGACTTTAGGGTTTAGGGTTTAGGGATTACGGTGCTTTTTGCTGGGAGGTGTTGGGTGTCAACACATTCCCGACAAAATGGATCTTAGACTCTTGGAGCACCGCTGTGAGGGGAGGACTGGCGGGGCACCCCGTGATGCAGGGCTGTTGATGTGGATTTAGGGTTTGCGGCTTAGGTTTCTTGCCCTAAGCCCTAAAACCTAAACCCTAAACCCTAAGGCTTAGGGTCCTTGAGGACTTTAGGCTATGGCCTGAGCCTTAAGGCTTACACCCCCAAAACCCTTTACATCTTATCCTTAACCAAAAGACACACACACAGCAAATGCCAAAGACTGCATCTACATCTGGGTCCTGCGGACTCAGTCGTGCTCCAAAAGCCCTCAAGCCCCAAGACTACAACATTCCAGCAAAAAAACATGTAACGAAATAAAAATACTAACAATAATGTGTGACCTAGTCATGTAATTCCTAGTCACCAGGGCTACAGCTCCCTCCCGCCCCAACCCTCCCTGAAAAGGGAGAAAACTCGAACTCAAACCCGAAGCGCTAGGGTTTAGGGTTTAGGGTTGAGGCATTAGTAGGGCTTAGGAAACCAAAAGCCCTCAAGCCCTAGATTCTAAGCCTGCGCCCGAAACATACCCAAAGGCATGGAGCAGTGTGCCCAGAAATTGAGGATTCTTTAGTTTGTCGGATCGAATGATCCCCTAAACCCTCAACCCTAACCCTAGACCCTAAACCCTTTTTTGCATCCAGGCCTTGTAACGACTGCCGGCTACTTGAAACTAAGGGCCGAGCCAGCAAGCTAATAGCACTCGTGGCTATTAGGCTACTCTCTCAGCATAAGATACCCTAAACCCTTAACCCTGAAACCTAAACCCTAAACCCTAAATCCGAAACCCTAAACCCTAAACTGCAAGGGCTTAGGGGTGTGGGATCCTAAGCCCTGAGCCCTATGTGGCGCCTTTTGGAAGACCTCTGGATCGGAGAAGACGCGCTGGACCTGACAACTTGCCTAGACTGGGTTCTGCACCCCTTTTATGATTAGGGTTTAGGGTCTAGGGTCTAGGGTTTAGGGTTTAGGGTTTAGGGTTTCGGGTTTCGGGTTTGGGCTTTAGCGGTTTAGGGGTTTAGGGGTTTAGATCTAGAGCTGAAGAACCTGCAGCTCCTTGTCGCATGGGCATTTTCTAACACGGATGAAACTCCTTGCAGCCGTGCCGCGATGGCAGTGATGCTGGAAGAGTAGGCGCCCACCTGGTCATCGTTCAGCGCTAAGTGCCGTGGGGGTTTCCGAAATAAGGGTTTAGGGTTAGGGTTTAGGGTTTCGGGTTTAGGGTTTCGGGTTTAGGGTGTTAGGGTTTAGGATCTAGGGTTTAAATAGACCCCCAAATTGTTGGATTCCCTTACAAACAGGACCCCAGTAAGGTACCCCCAATTTCGGAAACCACCTCATGGGCATCCACGGCAAGCAACAACAGACGACTGGTGCAGACCCGTGAAAAAATCCTGAGGGTTGAGGGTTTAGGGTTTAGGCTTAGAGGGCCATATCGCACTCCGAGCCGCCAAACCCCAAAGACGTCTCTGGAAACGCTTCGTCCACGCGAGCATCTCCTGTCGCAGGGTATTTGGTGTTTAAGGTTTAGGATCTGGGGTTAAACCCTAACCCAGAATTCGATAAGAGCAACAGGAATTCTACAGTAGTGCCACAACTCCTTCAGACTGTTCAGGGTTTAGGGTTTCGGGGTTTAGGGCTGAAGCCCTGAACCCTAAACCCGATAGTGGCTTGGCTGGGAGATACCATCTAACGCGAGCAGCCCGTGCATAAGTCCATCTCTAGGCTTTGTGTGCCGGACAGACCCAAAGGGCCCATGTATCTATGTAGGGTTTTAGGTTTTAGGGTTTAGGGTTTAGGGCTCAGAAATTACCCTCAGGGCCTATGTATCTGTATGGTTTATACTTGGGCCTAAAAGGGGTTCCCATGATAGTAGCTTTAGGGCCCACGTGTATACTAGATAGGTACATGGCCCCCCCCCAAACCGAGAACCGAAAGGAAAAAGCAGCCTCAAAGCAGCATGTCGCACTCTCCTTCCGAATGCACTACGCCCCGAAGACCCAAAACACTTCCTGCAAGCAGCGCGCATCCCCCCTGAAGCCCAAATGCTGAAAGTGTAAACCCTGAAGCCCGAAAGCCCTAGCCCTAAGATCCTAAAGTGAACTGAAGACCCACAAGTCCAGAGCAGAGATCCAACTTCCAAAGCTTCCCGACAAACCATAGGAAGCCGAAACCCCATGAATCCAGTATGAACCCCAAACCCCATAAGCCCTGAGCCTTAAGCCCTGAGCCTTAAGCCCTGAGCCCTAAACCCTAAACCCTAAACCCTAAACCCTAAACCCTAAACCCTATTCCGGGGGCCGCGCCGGGAGCATCTGAACGATCTCCACATCTCCGGCCATCACGGCAGCCACGAAAGCACCGCAAGAGGTGCCGTGGAAGCCTTCGGTTCAAGTTCACAGTATGGGCCTTCCCCCTAAACCCCTGCGGCACCCCCCGACTGAATCCGTGTATACTACAAAATGCACCCCCCCCCCTTCCACCCTAAACCCTAGACCCCAGCCCCAAACCCTAAACACTTTCCCTAAACCCTAAACCCTAAACCCTAAACCCTAAACTCTAAACCCCTAAAAAATTATCCTGAAGGGAGGGCTCAACTCTCTTCTTGCTTCTCAGTCGCGGAGTTTCGGTGCCTAGGCAGCATCTCTGACAGGGTTTGGGGTTAAGGGTTTAGGGTGCGGGGCCCTAAACCCTAAACCCCTTTCACACCGTGATTCACACCTTCAGATTTCAATGTTCGGGGCTCCAGCCAGCAATTGCCCTTGACTCTCAAGGCTTTGCTTGCGCTGAAGCTCAGTTGCTCAACTTTTTAGGTCCTCCTGCACACCTTCACGCCTCAAGGATTTCTGATTCTCAATCAGGATGCATGCCCCCCGCTCCCCCCCCCCACCCTCCTCCCAAAAGAAAGATTGGACCAAACTCCTGAGCCTAAACCCTCAACCCTAAGCCCTGACTTATTGCACTGCAGCCATCTCGCCCCCCCCCCCCCCCCCCCCCGCCCCCCAAAACCAAACGAAGCCCGCGCTAAGCACCCCTTCATGCAGAAGGTATTCCTTAACAAAAACCCCTACAAATCAAGGGAGCCAAACTTGGGCCCGTAAGGATGTACCCCTAAGAGGTTCCCTTAATAATCCTCCTGACATGTCCCCCTAAACCCTAAAGCCTAAGCCTAAACCCTAAACCCTAATATTCCCCCAAAAGGATCCTTCGGAAGGGTCCCCAAACCCGTGGGTACCACCTTGGGGGCCAAGGCAAACATCCCTTGACTTGGGGGCTGAATACCCTAGCCCCAAAAAGGCAAACCTTTTGTTTGTAGTAGAATTAAATAGATAAATAATATATTATAATATATATATATAACTTGTTATGCAACCAAAAAGGTTGAAGGTTAACTACCAAGCCCCTAAGTTGAAAAAAACAACTACACACCCTGCAAACCGCTAAGGGTCATTGCTTGTTGGGATCCACTCCTCATTCCCAGCTGGGACTTGGGCATCCATGATTTTTTTCTCTAAATTCGTGTAGGGTTTAGGGTTTAAAGGCTTAGGGCTTAGGGCTTAGGGTTTAGAGTTTAGGGCTGAGGGCTAGGGCTTATGGTTGTTGATGCCACTTCATGTTGCACACCTGCTTCAGAACTTGCCGTGGTTCTTGTCCCTTCCGGCAGGTGCTTCTTGTGCAACCAAACAGCAGCAGCCATGGTAACCCTCAGCCTAAACCCTAAACCCTAAACCCTAAACCCTAAACCCTAAACCCTAAACCCTAAACCCTAAACCCTAAACCCTAAACCCTAAACCCTAAACCCTAAACCCTAAACCTTGTAAGGTTACCTGCAAAATCCCTTCCAAGACCTTGATGGGTTCCGGTGGATGGGTGAGGGTGCTGGGAGCCAGGGTTAGACTACCAGTCTAGACCCTCAACCCCCTGAACAAGGAATTGTCCTTGCCTGCCGTCTTAAGTTATGCTGGGATCCCTGAGGAATAGTCCCAAATCCTAAGTCTAAAGCCTGAGTCCTAAACCTCTAACCGGCGAAAACGGTTCTACTGGCTGTCAAGGCGCTATGTGCTTGTAGTTGGGGCACCGCCGAAGACAACAGGCAACGCCGCCTCTGCAAATCACATGTGGGGGGGGGGGGGGGATTTGGCCAAAGCCCAAAGCCCAAAGCCCAAAGCCCAAAGCCCAAAGCCCAAAGCCCAAAGCCCAAAGCCCAAAGCCCAAAGCCCAAAGCCCAAAGCCCAAAGCCCAAAGCCCAAAGCCCAAAGCCCAAAGCAAAAAAAACCTTAAAGAACCAAAACCCTGAAACCCCAAACTCTAACCCGAAACCCTGAAACCCTTTTTCGCAACCCACAGCCCAAAACCCTAAACCTAAGCTCTCTGGACCTAAACGCCGAAACTCGTCGGGTTTCTGAGGGTTTTGAGTCCGTGACGCGGGCTCCTTGGCTCCTTCAGGTACGTTCGATCATTCTGGGTTTAGGCCTTAGGATTTAGGATGTTTTCAAAGCATCGTCGGACCTGGCCGTTTAGGGGTCACTCTCTCCCTCACCACTCCACCACCCCGCTCCTCCTTAAACCCTAAAGCCCTAAACCCTAAAACCCTTAGACCATTAAACCCTTCAACTCTTAAACCCCTACACCTCGCTCCCGGACCTGTGTAGATCATGAGGTTTGCGCACGGGCCGAAGGTGATCGTGAAGTTCTCTGCATCAATGTCGGGGAAGTCCGGCGGTGTTGGCAGCACCTGGCAACCCCCTGAAGAGTTGAAAGCCTGCAGTCCCTGCGATCGTTGTTGGGTTTAGGGTTTAGGGTTTCGGGTTCAGGGAAAGTGGGGGTGGTGAAGTCGTGTTGCGGGCTCAACAGCAAGCGGCGCCCTGCCGACTGTGTCTACATCAGATCCCCCTAAATGCCTTAACTTCTATGCTGCATAGGTACCTTGAAACCTGCACCCTAAACCCGTAAGTATCTGGGCTCCTGTATTGGTACCCCAAACTGGACCTGCCCAATTTCGAGCAAACCCTGAGGCCAAAACCCCTGAGACCCTAAACCCTCAAACTGGTGGCATGCTCGGTTTGGGGTTGAGGGTGAAGTTTAGGGTTTCCTGGGCACTCCCTCAACCTCAAAGCTTGGGGTTAGGGTTTAGGGTTTAGGGTTTAGGGTCTAGAAATGGGGGGGTTTACGAATATAGTCTGGATTCTGCGCAGGACTAAACCTTCTAATTACCGTTCCCAGCACCACGTCGACATGCAAAACAACAGCGACAACAAATATCCATAGTAGGACTCCCTTAGCATAAGGACCCCAATATGGTAGAAGCCCCTACATAGATCCTGAAAGGTTTATGGGAAGGGCCCAGTTTTGGCAACGTGCCTCTTTCACGAGCTCCACAGGATCTGAGGCCGTACTCAGCGTCTCCCAAGAGAGGCGAGCGGACGGCCTGCAGCAACGACACCCTAAACCCTAAACCCTAAACCCTGAACCCTGAACCCTAAACCCTAAACTCGAGGTTGGTTCCACAGTAAGTTTCCGGCATGCATGCTGCCCAGTTCACAGCCTAGCACTGGAGGTTCAGAGGTACTTATAACCCCCAATTCCAACTGCACCTATAACCCCCCCAAGTCCTCTAAGCAGGTTTTAAGTAGACTTAAAGTTTGGGTTACAAGTGCTCATGAGCCTCCAAGCAGTCCAAGACATCTTTGCTCCAGGGTTTAGGGTTTAGGGTTTAGGGTTCGCTTGACTAAAGGGCCTGGCTCGGTGGATTGCAGTTTCTTTCCGAATGGAGGGGAACTGCCATATCCGAAACGGGCAGAGCCGGTGATGTGCGCTTCTGCACCCGTGTGTTTGAATACATACTTTTCACCATCCAGAACCCGCTTCGTCGTTGAGGTTTAGGGTTTAGGGTTTAGGGTTTAGTCAGGGTTTAGGGTTTAGGGTTTAGGGTTTAGGGCCCCTTTTACACGACTCCATATCGGGGTCTATATACAAGCTCGAGTCAAGGAGATCGAGGAGCTCAGCAGGAATAGCGGATCCCAGTCTAAGTTAAGGGCCCCCTTTAGGCTTGGTAACCATATTATACTAAGGGCACCCATTTAGTGGGTTGCTCACTTCATAAGGGAACGAAATGTTAAAAAAAAAATAATAAGAAAAAAAGAGAAAGGGGTACCACTGGGATGCTCAAAGATACCATTTGGAATCAAAAATGGATCAACGCTTCTCTGAATCTCGACTCCAGGGCCTGTCGGGTTGGAGGGCCACACTTCGGGCGAGCTAAACCCAAAACCCAAAACCCGAACCCTCAACCCTAACCCCACAAGGGACCCCAACTTTTAGAGCACTACCCATGCGCGCATGCCCCGGCCTTTCGAGCTTTCGTGTCGCGGGTCGCCCCTCCATGAAGAGTGAGAGAAGCCGGCGGAAGCTGAGGACCTCGCAGCGGTGACGAGGGAGAGTTTAGGGTTTAGGGTTTAGGGTTTAGGGTTTGGGGTCTAGGGTTTAGGGGGTTGAGGTGGGGTGTAGGGTTTAGGGTTTATGATTTAGGAAGGCTTGCAAAGATGCAAGTGGTCCTTAGAAGCAAGCCCCCGCTTACGACATTTTTCGGGACAACCCGGAATTCGCGTTTCCAGGACAGCCAGGGCATAGGGTTTAGGGTTTAGGGTTCAGGGTTTAGTGCTGATGTCCAAGATGGCGAAGAGCAGGAGCATGTTGCACAGAAACCGAGTCCTGCAGAAAAACTCTGCACCCTCTCCCCTAAAACCCGCTTTGCGCCAGGGCGAAACCCCTAAACCCTGAAGTCTGTACCCTAAACCCTAAACCCTAAGTTTTTTCAAGCTTGAGCCCCCGGGCCACAAAGGTCGCCACGACGCAACTGGCGAAAACAACCTTGCGTACCAGTTTAAAAGAAGGGGTTAGGGAGGTAGTTAGCCCTAAACCCTAAACCCGAAACCCTAAACCCTAAAACGAAATCAGGTAACCGACAATCCCTTAAAAGTGTTGTATTGGGGAGCTCTCAGGCCTTAAACTCCCTCATGGATCCAGCTGAACATGAACCATTGTCACGGCCTAGGTCGAAGAGACCCTCATTCGAGTTTAGGGTTTAAGGCTTGGGGTTTTAGGGTTTATGGTATAAGGTTTTAGGGTTTAAGATTCGCATACAACATGCAAAAGCCGTCAGCTCTTTATGATTATGAAGGGGCAGTATCTGATGCAAGAGGGTGCGGGCACCAGTCTACTCATTAGGGTTTAGGGGTTTAGGGTTGTTTTTTGTTTAGGGTTTAGGGTTTAGGGTTTTTGTTCGGGATGCTTTTAACCATCTGCCTAGCAGCCTCTCCCCGCTCTTCTGTCTCTTCTGCTA